AGGCCATTAGTAGGGAGCTGGTTTGGAAGTGGAGCAGCTGGGACTCGAGCACCATCAGTGTCACAGGAGGCACCTTTAAAATCCACAGTGCCACAATGCCATTTTCCTGATAAATTGCCCTTTTTTTTCATTATATAATATTCTCTCTGTGACAATGTTTACTTTAGGTCTGTTTTCTCCCTTTTGGTTACCATTTGTATGGGATATCTTTTTCTGTCTTTTCACTTGCAGCCTATACGTGTCCTTGTAGCTAAAGTGAATCTCAAAAAATTAATTAATTAATTAATTAATAAAGTGAGTCTCTGTAGACAACTTGGGTTTTTTAAATCCATTCAACTAAACTATGTCTTTTGATTGAGGAATTAATTCATTAATATGTAAAGCAATTACTGATAGGCAGGAACTTGCTATTGCCATTTTATTCATTGTTCTCGTGTCTGTGATTATTTTTGTTTCTTTGCACCTCTTGCTGCCTCCCTTTGTGTTCCATTGACTCCTGTTTTATAGTGATATGCTTTGATTCCTTTCTCACTTTTATTTGTGTATCTTCTGTAGATTTTTTTATCACTATAGAATTACATAAAACATGACAACCTATTTTAAACTTATAACAAGTTCAATTACGTACAAAATTTTACTCCTTTACATTTCCTTTTCCATACCTTACATTGTTTTTATTCTGTACCCATTCATGTATTTCAATGAAGTTATTTGTATGCTTTCATCTTTTAAATTCCATATTTGAGTTAAACTTGTTCTCAAACAGTACTTTATATGTTGTAGGGGGGCAAACTGTTGAAATCTTTACTTAGTATAGAGTTGGTCTTCTGTATATAAAGTTAAACTAAAAATGAACCTTAAGGAAGAATGGGATGGGAGAGGGAGTAGGAGGTGGGACAGGAGTGTGGGTGAGAGGGTGGGTATGGGGGAAAGAACCACTATGTTCCTGAAGTTGTACTTATTAAATTTGCATTCATTAAATAAAAGCTTAAAAAAATGACTTAGCACTAGTACAGTATTTCAGTAGTCTGTATTTGTCTGTATATTTACCTTTTTATGTAGATTTATTGATTTATTGATTTATTTGAAAGTCTGAGTTACACAGAGAAGGAGAGGCAGAGAGAGAGAGAGGTCTTCCATCCACTGGTTCACTCCCCAATTGGCCGCAACGGCAGAGCTGTGCCAATCCGAAGCCAGGAGCCAGAAGCTTCCTCCAGGTCTCCCACGTGGTTGCAGAGGCCCAAGGACCTGGGCCATCCTCCACTGCTTTCCCAGGCCATAGCAGAGAGCTGTATTGGCAGTGGAGTAGCCAGGACTCGAACCAGTGCCCATATGAGATGTTGGCACTGCAGGCAGTGGCTCTACCCACTACACCACAGTGCCGGCCCCAATATATTTGCCTTTAATATAAAACTTTAGGAGCAGGCATTGTGGCACAGCCATTAAGCTACCACTTATGATGCCCCTGTCCCATATTGGAGTGCCTGCTGAGTCCCATCTACTCTCCTTCCAGCTTATGAGCCAGGAAAGCAGCAGGAGTTGTCTCAAGTACTGGAGCCCCTGCCCCCCATGTGGAAGATCTGCATAGAACTCTATCCATCTGGATTTTGGCTTGATTCAGCCCCAGCTGTTGCAGACATTTGGGCAGTGAACCAGCTGGTGGAAGATATCTCTGTCTGTTTCTCTCTTTGTCACTCTGCCAATTAAATACATATTTTTAATGTGCAAGTTTATATTTTTATACCTCTGTGTTACTGTCTTCTGCCTTTTCATTTCTGCCTAAAGTGTTCTCCCTAATATTTCCTGTAAGGAAGATCTAGTGGTGATGAATTCTTTCAGCTTTATTTATCTGGGGACATCTGTTTCTCCCTCATTTTTGAAAGATAGTTTCATTGTATATACTATTCTTGGTTGGCAGGTCTTTTTATTTCAGCACTTTGAATACCTCATCCCACCTACCTCTGACTTGCAAGTTTCACTGATAATCTTACAGCAACTAGTTTAGATGTAACTAGATGCTTTCTCTTCCTGTTTTCAAGATTCTGTATTTTTCTTTGACTTTGACAGTTTGATTACAATATATCTCATTGTAGGTCTCTTTGGGTTTATTGGAGTTCTTTGACCTTCTTGAATTTGAATGTTCATTTCCTTCCTCAAATTTGAGAAGATTTTGGCTGTTTCTTCAACTGACTCTCTGCTCCTTTATATCCTCTCTCCTTTCCAGAAGTTCCATAATATGCAAATTAGTCCACTTGATGACATGCAATAAGTCCTTTAGGCTCTCTTAACTTTTCTTCATTCTTTTTTTTTGGCTTCTCTGACTTAATCATTTCAAATGACCTGTCTTCACCTTCACTAACTGTTTCTTCTACTTGATGCAGACTCTTTTTGATCCCTTTTAGTGAATTTTTAAATTCAGTTATGATATTCTTCACCTCCAGAGTTTCTGGGTGGTTCTTCTTATAGTTTCTTTATTTTTTTCAAAGATTTATTATCTATTTGAAAGACAGACTTACAGAGAGAGAGAGAGTTTTCCATCTGCTGGTTTACTTTCCAAATGGCCACAACAGCAGGGCTAGGACAGGCCAAAACCAGGAGCCAGGAACTCCATCTGGGTCTCCCATGTGGATGTCAGGGGCCAAAGCATGAGGGCCATCTTCTACTGCTTTCCCATGTGCATTAGCAGGGAACTGGATTGGAACTGGAGCTGCCAGGACACAAACCAGCACTGATATGGGACGCTGGCACTGCAAGCAGTGGCTTAATCTACTGTGCCACAACCTGTTTATAAACAGCCCCCTGTTTATAATTTCTGTCTCTTTGTTGACATCCTCAATTTGTTCATACCTCATTTCCTGACTCCTTTAGTTATGTATCCATGTTCTCATTGAGCTGCTTTACGACAGTTATTTTGAATTCTTTGTTACATAATTCATAGTTCTCTATTTCTTTGAAGTCGGTTTCTGGAGATATAATTTGCTTCTTTGCTTTGATCCTATATCCCTGTCTATGTATGCCTTGTATGTGTGTTTATTGTTGGAGGGATTAGGGCTTTTAGAAAGGCTGCCACCTTTCCTAGTCTCCACTGACTGGCTTCATGTAGAAGACCTTCATCAAGAAGCTTGGAGATAGATTATAGGGGCTCTCTAACTTCTGGGGCTGCATCAACTTTGAGTTTGTGCATGCAGTAGCCCAATTAGAGGGGTTTGCCAGTTTCTTCTGTTTAGTTCTTGCTCCCCCTGGTGTCTCCCTGTGGTTCTGTAATATGTTCCTTATCTGTGTCCTTTGTTCTCAGTGGTTCTCAGGCATCTAAAAAGTATGCAGATTGGGAGACAGGTAAAGCAGAGAACAGTAACCCAAGGAAACCTCCCAAAAATGTCCTGCTCTTCTCTTTCACTCCTGATGATTTTCTCCCAATCATGCCAACCTGTGCCAACTTGGGGAAGGGCTATTGTGTGTACAAATAAGCAGTTTTTCTTCCATGCTTTGGACTTGCCTGGGGTACTACAACTTTTTAATTGGCTTATGGAGTTCTGTAAAGGCTTTTTTTACGGTTGTTCAGAGAGTGTCTCTATGGCACATAAAGGTTTGGAGCTTCATAATTCATCACCTTGTTGATGTCACTGTTTCTATTTTAAGATTCATTTTATTTATTTGAAAGGCAGAGTTTCATAGAGAGGGAGAGACGGAAAGATATTCCATCCCCTGGCCCACTCCCAAAATGACTACAATGTTTGGGGCTTGGCCAGGAGCTTCATCCAAGTCTCCCACATAGGTGTAGGAACACAAGCACTTGAGATATCCTCCACTGCTTTCCCAGGCCATCAGCAGGGAGCTGAATAGGAAGTGGAGCAACCGGACTCTGATTCCTATATGGGATGATGCATCACAGGCAATGGTTTCACCCACCATGCCACAGCGCTGGCCCCACTATTTTTTTTATTATTTTTTTTTTTTTTTGACAGGCAGAGTGGACAGTGAGAGAGAGAGAGACAGAGAGAAAGGTCTTCCTTTGCCGTTGGTTCACTCTCCAATGGCCGCCACGGCTGGCACGCTGTGGCCGGTGCACCATGCCTATTCGAAGGCAGGAGCCAGGTGCTTCTCCTGGTCTCCCATGGGGTGCAGGGCCCAAGCACTTGGGCCATCCTCCACTGCACTCTCTGACCACAGCAGAGAGCTGGCCTGGAAGAGGGGCAACCGGGACAGAATCCGGCGCCCCGACTGGGACTAGAACCCAGTGTGCCGGCACCGCAAGGCAGAGGATTAGCCTATCGAGCCGTGGCGCCGGCCCCCACTATTATTTTTAATATAAAAAATTTCCAAAATATATATTTACATAGTTTAGTGAGTCCAATACCTAAACTACTTTAGTAAAAAAAAAAGTTTCTTGTGACCCAGGGTTAATTTTTTGTTGCTTATTCATGCTTTTTACTTATTATAATGAGCTACAAATATAAATGTATAATATCCATGGGTATAAAATATATTGAAAACTCAGTTGACTCAGCTATTGCAAGGACTGGCCCAGGAGCAAAATTTTTATGTTGTTAAATTGTTTTTATTTTTTAATGTTTAAATGATTTGTTTCTTTCTCAAAGTAATGCATCAGAGAAAAATCATTAATATAACTGCACTGGCCATCTACTAGGTCTTACAGGTGCTCCGTTTTCACTTTCTCGCTGTTCCTTTGCTTTAGCCTGGTCTTACAGGCTTGATTAAGAGGACCACATTGTAACTTATTATTTCTTCGTTTTCTAGCCCTTAATACAATGGAAATTTCTGAGTTGAGTCCCTATTAAATTCTTTGCAAGCACATATTTAATTTATCTAGTAAATCTACATGCTTTCACATATGTCCCTATTAAAGTTTCATTTTCCTAATATATGTTTTATAAAATGCTTGCCTTTCTTCATGAATCATCTAGAAATGGTTTTCTGATATGTAGCATCTGTGAAAATATTTCTGTATGAAATGTTTCCCTTATTGTGTGCCCTTACAGGTGGTATACTTAATAATATCGTATCCTCCTTCCGGGATGTACTTATTGGTGTGCTGGTAGGAACTATTCTGGGACTTTTTGTTCATTTTTTTCCAAGTAAAGACCAGGTAAATTAAAAACTAACCTATTCTGTAGTGTTGTATTAGAGATTTCTTTTAAAATATTTAACTTTTGGAAGATCCACGAAATACTAAATTTAGTACTTACCTCCCTTTCCACAAAAGTAGCCTCATGCTTGCTCTGTGCAAAAACAGCACAATAGTGATTGATACAGGTCAATGTCTTCGATTGAAGACTTATTTCCTGGCTTGGCAGGTAAGGAATATCAGAAAAATGTCATTAAACTCAGCTTATCACTTTCATTCCACCAAACCTTTTCTCCACTAAATTGATTATTGATGTTTGATGGTTTTTTTCCTAATCTTTCATCCACAAAACTTAACTATTGAACATTTTATGGAAATAGAGGTTCCTATTCATTGCTGCATACTTTCTGACTTAAATTTGCTGCTACTTTCCTTTGACAGAGGCAACACATTGAATTTACCCTTTATTGCCCTAAAAGATGTCTCATTACCCCCTGTATTTCTGTGACCTCCATCCTAATTGACCTGTAACAATTATTTTGGATAAAAAGATACTCAAAATTTTAATTTTAATAATTAATTGGATAGTATATGGAACTGAAGGTTATAGGGGTCCCTCCTATTATCTTCAATTACAATTAAAGTATTATAACCACTTTAATAACATTCATATCAGATGTACTAGAAGTTGAATCTTTAGTAATCAAAAGTCTTGTTACTTGCTAGTAAGTCTGCTAAAATGCATAGTGAGGAAGGAAATTGACATTTTAGACATTCTTTAATATACTATTTTGCAATATATCAGGTTCAAAAATAAATGATGATGTCAAATTATGTGTCATGTATTTCATGTAAATTAATTTCTAAATATCTATCTAATTCTAGTCAAAACTCCCATTGAAGAGAGCATTCCTTATTTTGAGTATGTGTGTTTCTGCTGTCTTAGGCAGCCAACGTACTGGTTTGCATGCAACTGGAGGATTATGTACATTAGTGATGTCTTTCATTGCAGGGACAACATGGTCTGAAGAAAAGGTGAATATTTTTAATATACCACTTTAAAATGTATTTTTATTTTCATTCACCACTTATCAATTGTACACATTTATGGGGTACACTGTGATATTTCAGTATTTGCATACAATGTGTAATGATGAGATCAAAGTAACTGGCATATCCATCCCTCTCAGATAATTACTATTTCTTTGTGTTGGAACCATTCAAAGTCCTCTCTATTGCCCATTTTAAAATATTCAGTTAATTGTTGTCAACCATAATTATCCTACTGTGCTACAGAACATTCACCAGAAGTTAGTTCTCCTATCCCACTGAACTCTTGTACTTAGTACTCATCCTCTCTCCATCTTCCCTCTTCACACCCTTTCCAAGGTCTGATAACCACTATCTATTCTTTACTTCCATGAAATCAACTTTTTATCTTTCGATAATACAATTTTTAAATACAAAATAGCAGCAGATATTGTGACACAACCATTTAACCCAACAGTTGGGATACCCACATCTCATATTAGACTGCGTTGGTTTGATTCCTGCCTCTGCTCCACTTCCAATCCATCTTCCTATGATTACCTGGGAGGCAGTGGGCAATGACTGAAGTACTGAATATCTGGTACTCATGTGGGAGGCCCAGATGGAGTTGCTATTTTCTAGCTTCAGTGAGGCCTGACTCCAGCTGTTGTGGGCATTTGGGAGAGTGAACAAGTAGATGAAGATCTTTCTGTCTCTCTCTCTTCCAAGTGAATAAAAATGAATAAACATTTTTAAAAATAAATAAAAGAGGCCGGCCCCGTGGCTCACTACGCTAATCCTCCACCTTGCAGCGTCGGCACACGGGGTTCTAGTCCTGGTTGGGGCGCCGGATTCTGTCCCAGTTGCCCCCCTTCCAGGCCAGCTCTCTGCTGTGGCCAGGGAGTACAGTGGAGGATAGCCCAAGTGCTTGGGCCCTGCACCCCATGGGAGACCAGGATAAGCACCTGGATCCTGCCATCGGATCAGCGCAGTGTGCCGGCCACAGCATGCCGGCCGCGGCGGCCATTGGAGGGTGAACCAACGGCAAAAGGAAGACCTTTCTCTCTGTCTCTCTCTCTCTCACTATCCACTCTGCCTGTCAAAAAATTTTAAAAAATAAATAAATAAATAAATAAAAGACAAAATAACTAATTTTTCTATAATGGACAATTAGGAAATCCACTCATCCTAGATGAAAATGTTCCCAGACCATTTGTGTCCACAAGGAAGTGTATGAATCAATAAGGAAATAGAATATTGGTGCCAGCACTGTGGTGCAGCAGGTTAAAGCCCTGGCCTGCAGCGCCAGCATCCCAAATGGGCACTGGTTCGAATCCTGGCTGCTCCACTTCTGATCCAGCTTCCTAATAATGTGCCTGGGAAAGCAGCAGAGGATGGCACAGGTTCTTGGGCACCTGCACCCTGGTGGGAAACCCAGAAGAAATTCCTGACTTTGGATCAGCTCAGCTCTGGCTGTTGTGGCCATTTGGGGAGTGAACCAATGGATGAAAGTCCTCTCTGCGTTTCTACCTCTCTGTAACTGTCTTTCAAAGAAATAAAATAAATCTTTTAAAAAAAAGATAAATCAACTTCGGACTTTTAAAAATTTAGGAAAAACACTTAGAAATACACTAAAATGCAATCAGAAGTTGAGTTATCAAATCAGGCTTTTCCCCAAATTGTATTTAGTATAATTATATAACTTTTATTAATTTAATTCTTATACATTAACATTTTAATCATATCATTAATCCATGAAGATTATCCCCCATCACTCCTATCAAACTCACTTCCCACAATTAATGATTTCATCTAACCAATCCACTAATTTTAGACATTGCAATCTTTTTCATTTTTTGTATTTCACATGATGCTGCCATAAACAATCCTGCCAACGTGTCTTTTTTACATCTGCACAAGGACTTCCATAAGCATACATTCCTAGAAATGGAATTTTGGGGTTACAAAATAATCTACTTTTATTTTGATGGTATTGTAGAATTACTACTTGCAAAAGATTTTAGTTGTTTATACCCCTACTAACAGTGTAGGAGAGCAGTTAATACTTGAAATTTTCAGCAATACTGGAGACTCTCAACTAGTTATTTTTTTATTTTTTTAACCATCAGATGAGTAAGAAACTTTATGACATTGTTTTTTTTTTTAATTTACATTTCCCTGATTAGTAGTGGAGTAAGTTTCTTCTCATATATTCCTTAACTACTTATTGATACTTTGCTCATTTTATTTAATTATTTACCTTGTTGTTTCTATCTTATAGTTTGTGTGTTAGGGCTTCTGATCCTTTGTTATATATTCATTGCATATAATATTTACTTATCTTCAACATTGTTTATGTTGTCTTTTGTATAAAAGTAAAATTTCCTATAGCCAAACTTAATCCATTTTTCCTTTAGGTTTGGGATTCTGAATTTTTTGTTTGTGTTGTTAAAATTTTTTAATTTATTTGTGTGAGAGACATTGAGAAAGAAGCAGATGCGTAAGAGTGAGAGAGACAGAGACAAACAGCTCCCATCTGCTGGCTCATACCCCAAAAGCATTCTATGGCTGGGTTTGGACTAAGCCAAAACTGGGAGCTGAGAACTCAATTCAGATCTCCCATATAGATGGCAGCAACCCAACTGCTTGGGCTATCACCGTTGCCACCCAGGGTCTGCATTAACAGGAGGCTAGAATCAGCAGCTGGAGCGGTGAAGTGAATCCAAGTACTCTGATATAGGATGCTAGGTTAAATGTCTGCCCCATGAATTCTGCATCCTGTTTAAGAAAGACTCTACATCCAAGATTGTAAGAGCATAAACATTATATACTACTTTCTATATTATCTTCTATTATGTTGGTAATTTTTGTTCATTACGTTTCTACATTTAGTTCTTTATCTAGACTTTATTTTGTGAATACTGTGGGGTAAAGATCTATTCATATATGTTTGTATGTGTTGTTATAATTATTTGGAGAGTTAACCAGTGAGTGGAAGCAGTCTCTCTCCTTTTCGAATAAACAAATATAATAATTTTTAAAAATTAATGAATAGGCCCAAGTGCTTGGGCCAGTGCTACCTACATGGGAGACCTGGAAGAAGCTTCTGGCTCCTGGCTTCAATTTGGTTCAGGCCTGGCCATTGCAGCCATTTTGGAAGTGAACCCAGCAGATGGAAGATACCTGTCTCTCTCTCTCTCTCCCTCTGTAATTCTGCCTTTCAAATAAATCTTTAAAAAATAAACCTAGATTTTTTTCCAAATTATAGAATTCTTTTTCATATGAAAAAAGAAAGAAACAAGATGAGACCAGGGTTGTGACATAGCGGGTAAAGCCACCACCTGTGATGCCAGCATCCCATAAGGGCACCTGTTCAAGCTCTGGCTACTCCACTTGCATTCCAGCTCCCTGCCAATGCACCTGGGAAAGCAGCAAAAGAAGTACTTGAGTCCCTGCACCCACATGGGAGACCAGGATGAATTTCATGGCCCCTGGCTTCACTCCAGCCCAGCTGTGGCTGTTACAGCCATTCAGGGAGTGATCCAGCAGATGGAAGATCTCTCTCTCTCTCTCTCTCTCTCTGTTAACTCTACCTTTCAAATAAATAAATTTTTTTAAAAAAAAAAGGAGGAGGAGAAAGAGGAAGGAGGGGGAGGAGAGGAGAGGAGAAGGAGGAAAAGAACTGAAGAAGAAAAGGAGGAGGAGAAGGAGATGAAGGAGAAGAAATGAATAACTTTTAAAGATTAAATATAGGGGCCAGCACTGTGACGCAGGGGGTTAAAGCCCCAGCCTGCAGCACCAGCATCCTATATGGGAGCCAGTTCAAGTCCCTGCTGCTCCACTTCCAATCCAGATCCCTACTGTGCCTGGATAAGCAGTGGAGGATGACCCAAGTCCTTGGGCCCCTGCACTCACATGGGAGACGTGGATGAAGCTCCTGGCTCCTGGCTTCAGATAACTCAGGTCTGGCTGTTGCGGGCATTTGGGGAGTGAAACAGCAGATGGAAAACCTCTCTCTATCTCTCTCTCTCTCTCTCTCTCTCCCCCTCTCTAAGTAACTCTGTCTTTCAAATAAATAAAATCTTTAAAAAAATTAAATGTAACAAATAATGTACCCTAAAGAAGAAATAGCAATACTGATTTTTTTTTGTTTTTTTTTTTCTTTTTTTTAACTTTACTTTTATAAGCAGCAATCAGAAACCCCAGTCATAAGGGGAATAGTTATGAAGGTGGTTCATGCCCCAAGAAGGTACCTCAGAGTTCCTATATATGTTCTGTAAACAAAAATAAACCGACGGAGCAGAAAATCTTTCCATGCAGATTGCTGCAGAAGAACCAGACTGTGGTACCAGTAGAGGCCGTCTTGTAACTAATTGGGAAGTGACACTGGGAGGCATTCATTCACAAAAAGGGGTGCTGGCCAGGCATCTGAATAAGAATCTAATACCCATCTTTGATTTGATTTTAAGAAAAAAATAACTTTGAAGTATTCAACATTGTTCTTCTGGAAGCAGGTCTAACAGAAAATCAGATTTTTTTCCCTAGTAGCTAGTGACATTTTTACCTTGTAGCCTATGACATCATAAGGATTCATTTTCCTGGGACTAAGTTCTAGGATGATTGTTAGCAGAGTTCTTCTCAGCTCCCTTCTCCAAGTCCAGATGTTTGCATGAGCCAGATAGGTTCTCATTAGGAGTGATGCAGTTTCTGTCGCTGTTCAGTTACCTTACCAGCAAAGATTTGTGCTCTAATTGTGCATCTTTTGATCTCCCAAGATCTCACTTGTTCTGTGGCAAAATGATCAAATCACATTTTTTATTTATACATTAGTAGGTTTCTTTTAATCAAATTTTACCTAAATGTTTGAATAAAAGAATCAACCTACTCAGTTTTTATTAACTGGGTTTTAACATTTCTCCTAAAAATGAAGCAAGTTTATTAAATGTGGTTAAACTTCAAATCTCTCAAATGCATTTATCTTCTATGTGCCACAGTAACTATATTTCTCCTTTCCACAGATTAGAGTCCAAAGTTTTGTTACAGCTGCATGGAATGTTTTTCAACCTCTTCTTTTTGGTTTAGTTGGATCAGAAATATCTGTGTCAGCTCTTGAACCAAATACGATTGGTAAGAATAATTAGAGCACAAAAAATATAAAATTCAAAAATATTTAAGAAAATTATCAATTTTTAAATTTTATTTACAATATATCTTTTTAAAAAATCATAGATACTATGTAACACACATATATTTGCTCTTCCTTATACTGTATGATAGCTTTGACTCTTCCCTGGATGATCTGAGAAAATAGAGATTAAGATTTCTTTTCTGTGGGGAAATACTTGATGCTATCAGGAACTTTTAAATACTTCCATTTAGAAGTATTTACAAAAGGTCTATTTCTTCAGAATTGAATTCAATTTAAAATTTGTTAGTTCAGGGGCTGGTGCTGTGGCACAGTGGGTTAACGCCCTGGCCTGAAGTGCAGGCATCCCATGTGGGCGCTGGTTCTAGTCTGTGCTGCTCCTCTTCCGATCCAGCTCTCTGCTGTGGCCTGGGAAAGCAGTAGAAGATAGCCCAAGTGCTTGGGTCCCTGCACACACGTGGGAGGCCCAGAAGAAGCTCCTGGCTCAGCGCAGCTCTGCCCGTTGCAGCCATCTGGGGAGTGACCCAGCAGATGGAAAACCTCTCTCTCTCTCTCTCTCTCTCTCTCTCTCTCTCTCTCTCTCTGTCTCTACCTCTCTCTGTAACTCTTTCAAATAAATAAAATAAATCTTTTTAAAAAAATGTGTTAGTTCAGAATTGAATAAATGTCATCTATCTTCTTATATATGATGTTTCTACCATTAGATAACTCTTGCACTATATGCTGAATTCTCAATCATATTTGTATTTTTACATTTTTATTTATTATTTATTTGAAAGAGAGAGAGAAAAAGAGACATGAAAGACAGAGATCTCCCATCTGTTGGTTCATTGTCTAAATGCCACAACAGCTGTGGCTTAGTCATGCAGAAGCCAGGAGCCAGGAACTCAATCAGGTCTTCCCCATGGGTTTTGGAGACCCAGCTACTTAAGCCATTGCTGCTGCCTCACAGGGTTCATTTTAGCAGGAAACTAGAAGTAGAAGAGAAACTAGGACTTGAACCCTGGCACTCCAACATAGGATGCAGGTGTCTCAAATGGTGCCTTCACCACTAGGCGAAACACATATTCCTGCATTTTTTTGAAAAAGATTTATCTTATTTATTTGAAGGGCAGAATTACAGAGAGAGGTAGAGCCAGAGAGAGAGATAGAGAGGTCTTCCTTCCGATGGTCCACTCCCTCATGTCCACAACTGCCAGAGCTGAGCCGATCCAAAGCCAGGAGCCAGGAACTTCCTCTAGGTCTTCCACGTGGGTTCAAGGGCCCAAGGACTTGGGCCTCTTCCACTGCTTTGCCAGGCCAGTGCAGAGAGCTGGATCGGAAGTAGAGCAGCTGGGACACGAACCAGCGCCCATATGGGATGCCTGCGCTGCAGGCCAGGGCTTTAACCCATTGTGCCACAGTGCCAGTCCAATCATTTTTTATAATTATTAAATTCTAACTTAAAACTAGACATAAAGAAGCAGTAGCTTTAAAATGTTTTCAAAAGTTCTAGAAAGCATATCTCTAGGCATATGCTTTCTTCCCAAATGTTTTTTCATTTATGTTTGTTTTTATCTGTTGTAGGCGTTTGTGTTGCTACCCTCAGTCTGGCATTGTGTGTTCGAATTTTAACCACATTTCTGTTGGTGTGTTTTGCTGGTTTTAATTTTAAGGAGAAAATATTTATTGCTTTATCATGGATTCCCAAAGCTACAGTCCAAGTAAGAACATATTAAATCATTCTAATAATTTTATGATTTTATTTTTTTAAATTCTGAATGAAAAAGGTAAGGCTTACTGGCCTTACTTTTAGAATGCTTGTTTGATAATAGTTATTTATTAATACTAATGTAACCTCTTTAAAACTGAGATTTGAAAGCAATTATTATGAAATTGAAAAATATACTTTTACTGACACACTTCTTAAAGTTTATGAGATTGTTCCTAATTTCCTAAAATATAAAAGAGTTTATCTAGAAATTATAATTTTTATATTTTTTCTAATTTTTTTAAATACATCTTTTCTATCCTGCTGCTCATTCTACCACATGAATACACATATATTATTTTAAATTATACATTTCTATGGATATTTGATTAATTTCAGAGTCCCTGCAATATCCTTTATAGGAAGGACAGGAACATTATTTGCTTTGTTTCTCATTATTTTTCCATGGCACTTAACACAGTGCCTGGCACACATGAGGTAAATAAGCATTGTGTGCCTAAAATAAATATTAATTGCATACCTACAAGAATGAATTAATAAATGAATGAATGAAAAAGGCGACCTTGTAGTTTTGTCCTCTAATTCAATGATATTCTCCTTCTAAAAGATATTGCTACTTGTTAGACTGTTTTAACCTAGCAACATAATTCCTCATTTAATTGGAATTCTTCTCTGCACTGTTATTCCAAAGCAGAAGCTTGTAAATTTCTATGCAACAGAATTCTCTTGGTTAGAAAATCAGTCCCAAGGGACTAGATTGCCTATTTTAAATGCCATGGTACTTGTCTATAACATTAGGCAAGTCACTTCTTAATCTCTCTATGCTGCCATTTCCACATTTTCCAGTGAGTCTGTAATTGAATCTACTTCATAAGCAGTGTTGTGAGGATTAAATGAAATAACACACATAAAGTGCTCAGCACAGTCTCTGGCACATGATGGTGCTCAAGCAGTGATGTTACTAATTATTAATTAATTAATTAATGTTATTAATTTTAACTTCAAGTAACATAAATAATAATAGCTTTTTGTTTTCAATTTCTGCTGTAGGGATAATAAATCTGCAAAAGGAGTATCTGTCCATCCCTCTATTTTGTCTCCTTCCAACAATACATTTGCAATTTTGTTTCATTATTTCATAATTTTTGTAAAGCAGGGAAAAAAAGAAAAGCAGATGTTTCCTCAAGTCCTTCAGTATTATTCCTCTTCTGCCTGATCTTGTCTCCTGGATCTAGGCTGTCATCTGTACAAAGAATATCAAACTGGTTCCAGTGAGTAGCAAGAAATACAAAATTAGTTATTTATGCAAGTAGACAGTCACAACAGCAATGACAGCTGATAAAAATGTGATAGATGAATTGGATGAACAAAATTTTTTAAGTTTTCACTTTCATCTCTTCCTCCATTCTCTGCTGTTTGAAGATACTAATGAAAATTCAAGCAGAACCTTTATATAAATAAATAAATTGTTAAAAATATTCAAGTAGAAAAAATGGAAGATGTTAAGAGGGCACATAAAGAATGTGGTTATAAATGTAAGATAAGTTTGCTAACTGGATTCTTCTAAAGAAATAATATTAAATCTAAGTTACTAGGTGGAAATCATTTGTCATCTAATAACAGTCTCTATATGGTATGTTTCACTTGAGGATTAAACAAATTAATAAAAGAAAAGCTTTAAGAATGGTAACTGCCATATGATAAATTATATCTAACTATATAAGCATTATTAATTTCATAATTATTAACATCATCTCTTAAAAGTCACTGGCTTTGGCAGCTCTTTTATGTTCAAAATCTCTTCTAAACGCTAAGATTCTTTAGAGTTGGTTTTCTACCTGATTTATGTTTCTCTCCCTTGAATCAAATACACTAGCTTATATTTAGTAAACAAAAAGTTACATATATAATATATATATATACACAACACTTGTATGTATATATATATATATAAATGAAACCACTTTTAATCACTGACTTGGAATATAGAAAATGATCTTAAACTGGGGGTTCTTTTGTCATAATCTTTGATATTAGACTAATATTTCTACCAGTACATTGTCACTTTATAACTTCATAAAAATATGTATCTGTATTTAATCCCTAAAAATGATGGCAATTTCAGATGCAAATTAGCAAATATAAAGCAGGATAGCAAGACCTTTGTTTTAAGTAATTAAAAATAAATATGATATAATAAATCTGGGGAAATTTTTTGTGGCACTGGAGGTCATTTTAAAACAAAGAATTCAAAGGAATTCATCCCTTGACATGCAGGGAATGAGGACTGAATGGGAAGAGAAACTTATTATCTGAATACATGCTGTGTGCCAGGTGTTCTTTCTATTCTCATATTTAATCCTCACAACTATTCCAGTGGGGTTAAGTATGAGGGTACATCAGAAAAAGGTTTGGAAAAATGGAACCAAAAGATAAGTTAATTTTAGTGCAGAAAATCTGAAATGCATGCCTGCTTTTTTTCATAATACACATTTTCCATGAACCTTTTGAAGTACTCTCACGTTGTTCATTTTACAAGTAATTAGAAAGAGTTTGAGTTGGTTGTACAAGATCACTCATGTGGTTACAGCAAAAACAGAACTCAAACCCAGTTTGTTAGAATCCAAAACTCCTGTCAGTCCTGTGTCACACCACCTCCCAAGTAAGAACAATGAGAACAGTAAATCCTAGCGAATCTTGGAAGCCTTAGTATCTTGTGTTTTCTTATTGCTGCCAAGAACCCAGTGGTACATGGTAAAGGCAACTAAGTAAAACGCTGCTTCAAATGGAACACTTAAAGATCTGAGGGTAATGTGAGCACTCAAATGTTTCAACAGGGAAAGGCTGAGAGGACAGGAGTGTAAAATCTGCTCCAAAGAGTTTGAACACTGAGTTGTCCTTCCTGTGCTATTCTCCCAGATATATTCACTAAGCAGAACACAGAACTGATGCATAAGCACTTTTACTCTTGTCTCATTTTTTTCTATTAGCCTAGTACTAGCAATTTTTTGTTTGTTATTTTAAAAGAGCCATTTACTTTTATTGCATGTTAACTGTGTTTAACATCTTTCCCCCTAAATGCAGGCTGTATTAGGTCCTTTGGCTCTAGAAACAGCAAGACGCACTGCACCCCACTTGGAAGCATATTCGAAGGATGTGATGACAGTAGCATTTTTAGCCATCTTGATCACAGCTCCAAATGGAGCTCTAATTATTGGCATATGGGGGCCCAAAATACTTACACGCCATTATAATCCAAACAAAATAAAACTGCATTTGTCAGCATTAGAACATCATTAAAAGGTATATTTATTACATCACTGACCTGCTTCTTTTCATGAATTATCTCACATGACAAATAATTAAATGTAGAAATAAGTGGAGACTGTTCATAGAACCCAGGATTTAGTGACTATATAACTCACTGTACTACTCAATTCTTTATTTTTAAAGTTAATTTAATATAAATAATATTAAATGAAATGCTCCCTTAGTATTTACATGTTTAAGAACAACGTAAAAAAAAAAGTCTATAAATACCCTAGTAAAGTCATCTATCAGGTTGAGTTTGCTGTCATGATACAAATTAAGCATAATAAGAATTAAATGACCTTAATGACAGCAATAAAAATCTTTGACTATTGAACTTGGTAAAATAGACTAATCCAAATAGGAGGAGTAGAACTCTCCATCACTTTAGTAACTGTTTTAAAAATCATCCAAAAAAAAAAAAAAAACAGCAATAAAACAAATCACATTTAAATGGGTCAACTAAATAGGTTTTTTGTTGTTTTTTTAAACATCATCACTTATATATAAATGGAAATACAGATCATTAAAAGTGTGTGAATACAGAACATGAAATTTAGTTTTTACTTAAGCAGTTACATGAATAAGGTTGTTCTTAAGTTTCTTCACTGACAACCCCATTTGAACCACTGAACAAATTATACTTAAATTATCAGTAGTAAAAATTCAGATTTTTTTTTTTTGACAGGCAGAGTGGACAGTGAGAGAGAGAGACAGAGAGAAAGGTCTTCCTTTGCCATTGGTTCACCCTCCAATGGCCGCTGTGGCAGGCACACCACGCTGATCCGAAGGCAGGAGCCAGGTGCTTCTCCTGGTCTCCCATAGGGTAAAGGGCCCAAGGACTTGGGCCATCCTCCACTGCACTCTCTGACCACAGCAGAGAGCTGGCCTGGAAGAGGGGCAACCGGGACAGAATGCGGCGTCCCGACCAGGACTAGAACCCGGTGTGCCGGCACCGCAAGGCGGAGGATTAGCCTATTGAGCCACAGCGCCGTCCAAAAATTCAAATTTAAACATGAAAATATGGAACAACAGCAACAAAAGAAAAGGAAGTACCTTCATTACCAAACAAATTAACAAATTTGCAGACACTCAGATACTTTCTGAGGCATATCAAAACACCTACATCAAAGGTTGCATTTATTTGAGAGGTATCAATACATTTTCAGTGCTGAGACTATTTGTAGCACTTACAGTATACACAAAGCAGCATTAGACTACTATGGTCTACATTTGAGAAACACAGATTTAAGCTTTTTGCTACAACTTGCCAATTTAACATTATACCAGTGCAGTGAAAGGTCATCATTTCCTATTGTTTTCTTCTGAAACTCAATAAGCAAGTTATCATTTAAGTACATGAAATAATACCATGTCTTCTTCCTTATAACAGTAAAATTTTTAAAACTCAAATACTTTGTATTATGGAAACTTTATCCAGCTGTACAAAGGCTCCCAAATACAGGACAGTCATAAAGTTTCTTCTTTGTAGATTCCATTAATTTATAGTTATTTTAATGCAGATAAATGCAGGACACTACTCCAGATTATTGGGCAACAAAAATATCAATGTGTCATTACCTGTATTTAAGTATGAGCATACTACAACCGCAACCATGGCAATTTAATGCCCTCACATGTCCTCCACTGCTTCCAGGGTTCCTTTCCAAGTCACAGGAGCTA